CTAGGCGGGGCTTGTAGGAGGGGTGGGAAGTGATTCCTTCAGACTTAGGAGCCTCTGTAAATGGAGCTCTAATCTGATGGAAGCCGCTCAGGGTCAGGTCTGTGCAGAAAGCTCTTGGGAGTGGGGTATCTCTCCCAGGTCCCTGTAGTTATTCCCATCCCCCCAAAACAGACATAGGAACCAGCTCCTGCACACATGGGTCCTTGGTGCCGATCCCAGCAACCTCTGTCAATCAGCACAGTGCCAAACCTCTCAGCCTTATATCAGATGGTGCTTGTGACCAGGGGCTGTGCCTCAGGTGTCCCCTCTCTTGTGGTGAGAACTGGACCCTGACTCAGGTTCTCCTGCTCCAACCCAGTGGCCACCTGGGGAGCTCGGGGGAGGCTGGGAAACTTTCAAAGAGCAGTTAATCACTAACTTGCTGCAGATAAGAGAATGAAACAATTGAGAAAATGCCCAACCCAGAGCTTAGTGCTTCCCTGCCCGCACATGCCAGGACCTGGCCCGCCCAGGGAAGCCTGGGATCACACTGAGATTGTTCGCTAGAGAGAGCGACCTGCAGTCTCTGGGGGGCTGATGGCCGCCGCTGTCCTTTTACCTCTCTGGCCATTTCTTTCAACTGAGTCTCGACTCCCAGGATGAACAGGGGCAGTTGCTTAGGCTGCTGAGACAGTTGCCCCTCATCTGTAAAAGTCAGGTACTGGAATCCAGCTTTTTCTATTTACTACTGCAGCTCTGTGTGGGACACAGAGAGCCCAGATAAATCAGACAGGGGGCCTGCCCGCACTGGGTTACAGTGGGAAGAAGCAGAGACAGACAGAAGGCCTACAGGATAAGATGGTGGAGGAGTAGACAGGCTGAGATCAAAGGAGAAGGGTTCAGTCCTACCTGGGCAGGTCAGGAAAGGGGCACCCAGCAGGTCATAATCACAGGGCTGCCAGGGTCAGGCTTTAGCCTAGGAGGTGCCTGTAAGTTATCTCCAATCCCACAACCCCCCTGCCTGGGAGGTATTAACCCCACTTTACCAGGAAAGAATCTGGTGGCTTGTTCAAGGCTACCCAGGTCCTAGTGCTGAAATCCAGCCCAGGTCTTTCTGACCTTAAAACCACCCAGCTTCCCTTCCCCTCTCCCATGGCTGCAGTTCTCAGTGGAGGGTGTTCCCTTCAGCCAAGACTTGGATTCTGGAGAAAACAAAAGTACTTGCCTTCCATTCAAGCTGCTGACAGCCATTCATGCCTGGGTATGAATGATGGTCAGTGGCAGAGAAAACGGAAAAAAAAAATAATCCACATGAGGCACCTGGTTCCCATTTTTTCTGAAGACCTCGACACCCTGATAACCCCAAAGGACTTGTAATTTATGACTTCTGAGAACTCCCCTTAAGTGCGCCTACCTTCTTTCTGATGGTATCTGCAGGACTTGGCAGAGTTACCTCCTGTCTCTTCAGGATCTTGGAGATAAAAACTGCCTCCTGAAAGCTCTGAGAAGCTTTTAGGAAAAATTGACAAAAAGATTGCCAGCTGGAATTCTGCCTCTGCTCTGCTCATGGTGGCAGGCAGCTGCAGCGTGGGGCACCCTGGGCTCTGTTGGCCATCCTGTTGGCATTTTTTGGGGGGAGGGGGTACGGGCTGTTCAAGGATGGTTTGAACCAAGACTAGCTAGATTCTAGAGAAGAATGGCACGTACCTCCTGGGCAGAGGTCCAGGACAGGGCAAGAAGGCTGCCTTACCATTTAGATAAGGAAGCCTCTCTTTCTGCCTCTAATAACAGTCAAATTTCAAATTCACATGTGCAAGTGAAACCAGGCAAAGTGCTCCATAGATCTTAACTCACTAATCCTGCACAGCAAGTTTAAGCAAAATGCTCAAGCCCACATGGCAAGAGAGGAGAGTTGGACTTTGAATCCACACATGTTGGCCCCGGGGTGCTGTACACGGTTCAGATGACGGTCTGGGACCAGGTATGGACCACTGGAAGCCTGCAAGCGATGCGGAATTCCCAGCCTGCCCCAAACTCCCTGAATCAGCATTTTTATTTTATCACGATCCTTTGGCGATGGATGGCCGTCACAGTTTGAGAAGCACTGCCACCTCCCCCCTCCCATTGCATGACACTGCTCAACTGGGGGGGGGGTAGTGCATTTTGTGCCCAAGCTATTGTGTTCATTCAATCAGCCAAATATCCCCAAGCTCCAGACATTGTGCTGGGCAGGTGACAGAGGCAAAGACAACTGTCTTCATGAGACTTCTGGCTGTGCCCTCCAGGAAGGCAGTGTGGGGAATGGGGCAAGGTGGTGCCAGCCAGGATGCTTGGATCCAAATCCTAGTGCCACCACCCTCTGGCTGTGAGAAGGAAGCTGAGTCATTGCATCTTCCTGGGTCTCGGGTTCCTCACCTGTGAAACAAAGCAGGTGATCCAGCACACAATGTGTTCCTTGAGCACGGTGGGCACCCAACAGGCATTCAAGGGGATCTGATGAAATAGAGGACCACTTAATAAGTGACCTGATCATCTTCCACAAGAAGCCCCCCCCTCCATTTCCAAGAGGAAAAAGGAAGCATGCTGGGGTGGGGGAGACAGAGGAGAATCTCTTCTGAAGGAGTGGGGCTTTCCCAGACCTCTTAATTATGGCACTGTTTTCCTCTGTCTGCTCAGTTTATTTTTCTTGGTAAACATCTGCCTTACATCTGTGGGTCACTCAGCAATTTGGCCATGCCTCCAGAAAGGGTTAAAATCAGAAAAGGATGGAGTGGGTGGTGGGAATGATCTAGAATCTTGGCCTCCAACCCTAGGACCTCATGTGATAAAGGGAAAGAGGGTAAATAAGATCTGGACATCGAGGATGGTTTTGTCTCCTCCTCCTTCTCGCTTTCCTCCTTCCTCTTCTCTTATCTCCAAACTACTTTGACCTCTCTGGTGACCAAGATCAATCCAATTGTACATCCATCATGATGAGTATGTTCTTTGTTCTTGCTCCAAGCGGGTCCCTGCCCTATGTGCTTTTGTTCCGTGTTATCACTGAATCTTTCAAACAATCTGATGGGGTGTAGTCACCATTGTTACCCCCACTTTACAGCTGAGACACTGAGGCTCAGAGCGGTGAGGCGCCTGAAGCCATTCAACCACTTCCTTGTGATGGAACCAGGATATGAATCCAGGTTTGTTCAATTCCATAGCCAATGTACTAAGCCACTGCACTCACCGCCTTGATGACCGTGGACTGTCACTTGGCCAAGGAGTAAGTCTATTGAGAAAGCAACTCCAACCAAGACCATAACAATAAGGCTAACATCTTGCTCCCTGCCGCAGTCTGGCTGGACACAAATCAAGAGCCACTGAAGCAGGAACAAACTTTATTTCCGAACTCCCGCAAACGATACGCATGCGGCCTTCTCCCGGGACACACCACACCAACCGGAAATCCCTCCTCCGGAACTTCCCCAACCAATGCGAATCCTCCAGGAATCCCGAGAGAACTCCAAAGTAGCCCGAGAACTCCAAAGCAGCAGGCCCAGGCGGACAGCAGGGGTCTAATATACAATTGAATACACAGCTTAACATAACCATCATCATCTCAATGGCTTGCTGTCGTCACCTCTCAACCACTCGTTCTGGCAAAAATGCCATGCGTCATCCGACTGGGCTGTGGCCCTCAACAGCTCCCCAAGGGGGACAAAACACAGCTTTCCTGGCCCACCTTTAAGTGACTATGACTCTGTCATAGTCAGCAAGCCGTTTTGGTATTTTGTTAAAGCCCCCAGGTGACTGGAGCTGAGTCTGCAGGGGACCCATCACCTTGGAGAGAACTGGGCTCCATGGGACTGGTCATTTCCTCTTTCCCAGTAGAAGGCCACTAGCTCCTGAGAATGAAGAGTCATTAACTTTGAGGGAGCTTCCTGTGAGTGATCTTTGCCCTCTGTGAAAGTGTGGAGATCAAGATAAGGGAGAAAAAGTGTGGGCAGCAGGAGGTTGGGCTCCACTTAGCTCTGAGGCTTCCCTCCTGGAGCAGGTACATTGAACCCTGAGTCCAGGGGTGGCAGGGGGAGGGAGGGTGACAGGTGTGGGATTAATTAAAGCATTAAGCAGTGAACCTTTGGGTCATCCTGCTGTGGTTCCTTAAAGCCCAAACTTTAGTTTGTCTGGTCTTCAGAGTTGCTCTTGGTGACTCCTAGCCTCACCACCCTGCTAAGCATTTCGGGTTTTGCTATGTGTACTATCTGTTCTATTAGCCTCACAAGTCTTTTTTTTTTTAAATCAAATATTAAAGTTCTAATGTTCTATAGCACAGTCGGGTGATGACAGTTCATGAGAATTCATTACACATGTCAAAATGAACCAGAAGAGAGGAGTCTGAAGGTCCCCAACACCAAGAAATGATAAATATTTCTTTTTTTTCACAAAAAATTAGGAATACTAATCACCCCGATTTGATCATTACACCTTGGACACATGTATTAAACTATCTACTCCATAAATATGCACGATTATTTTATGTCAATAAAAAAAAAGAATTTGCATGCATTTACAAAGTGACCATATCACTATCTCCAAAGGGAACTGAGGCTCACTGGCCCTACATGGACATGGACTGTTAACGAACAGGATAAAGCCCGAAAATGGAATTAATCTTCCATTGATCCAGCAGCTTGAGCTTTGGTGGAAAGGAGTTGTCAGAACGGTTGAGCCCTCCTTTGAGGTCTCTGAAGGACTGAAAAGTCATTGAAAATGGTACACATTTCTCACTCTATGACTCAATACTGTTTAACTTCAGGTCCACGGATATTCACTCACAGATACTAATAAATTCCACAGCAACAGATTGTAAGCTCCAGGGTGGCAAGGCATTTTTTTCTGTATTTTTGTAAAGATATGATGGCTCACTGCTATATTCCCAGACCCTGGATGGGTGCCTGTAAGGGAGCAGGTGCCTACGTGTATGTGGGAGATGTGGATCATGGGGCATATGGGTCTGACTATCCTATCTCTTATTTTCTTTGCAGACTGAGAAGCTAAATTTAAAACAGGAGGAGTGTCCAACTGCCCATCAAATGTCTTGGTCACTGCATTGGAACTCAGCCACTCAACTTAGGTCTAAGAATTCTACAGCCTGTTCTAGCCTCGGCTTCTTCTCCATCCTTGGATGTACAGGCTACCATGCTGTTGGAGGATCAGAAGAAATCATGGATGGGCAAGCACCCTAAATGCCCTGTGCACTTAGAAAAAGGTTGAATTGATTGTACACAGCACAGGAAATGCCTGATTTTGTTCCCATGACATTGTGCATGCTTCAGCTGCTCTGAGAGTTCCTCCAAAGCCTGACCCTAGAACATTTTCTTTGCCTACTTTTAAAAGCACACCTGCTTGCCGCTCTTATCATGGAGGGATCACTCTGACATTGTTGAGAACAGATTTTGTGTTCCACTTCTGTTGGGAAGGCAGACCCAGGAGGCTCTGTTTATTTTTAGCAGAACCATTATTAAACTGCTACTAATATTAACATCAATACTACTCCTACTAATAATACGAGGAAACACCCACTTTTGTGTGATTGAGCCAGGTTGCCCGGAGGCAGAGGAATGGATTCATTGACCTTTTGAGTCTGATCTCAGCCCTTTGGTTCTATTACCACCTTGTAAACCTGAGGGTGTTTTGTATTTACCCCTAAGGAGTTGTGGTTAGAATCTGCTAAAAATATCTCACGATGCACCTCCCAATGGTCATCGCCCTTTATAACATACCTGTTGTTCAAGACTTAAAGTTTCCTGGGTGGTGACAGAGAAGAACTGGCTGGAGGAAGGCTTTGGAATTTAAGTGACACTTGCCAAGCTGGTGAGGCTAAGTGCCATTCCAAAGTCTGATTCCTGCCGTCTGCCGTGGGGTTACTTCCATACCGTGCCATTCCCCATTCATTAAACACATAGTTACAGATTCCTAGAACGAGCCAGCCAAGGTGCTAATCTAGCCAGGAAGAGAGACAAGCAAACACCCACAATGCAATGTGGCAAGTGCTAGGGGGCGGAGAATCAAGAAGAGGGAAGGCGACGATTCAGCTGGGGACTGATTGGTGTCAAGAGATCCTATCAGGAAAGGCTCCCTGAAGGAAGCAGTGTTTGGGTTGAGATGAGAAGGATGAGTATCAGATAGACAGGGGGAGAAGGATTAATTGTGCTCTGGGTATGGACAGCATATGCAATGGTTTGGTGGCAGGCAGGGACAATGACCTGCCCATTTGGGTTACTGTGATATTATGAAATAAATAGCTTCATCCAGTTTCCTGGCATACAATTCTTAAAGTCCTTGGTATCTCCAAAGGGATGAATGTCTACAAGGACACTAATGGGTTGACTGATGGCTGGCCACTTCTAGTAGCCTTTAGGATGCAGGCTGGTCCATGGGAAAACCAACCATACACTCAAAGGATTTGCCCATACCTCTGAGGCGAGGAGGGAATTGGAAGTTGACCTGGTCACCAGTGGCTGATGATTTAATCAGTCATGCTTAAGTAATGAAGCCTCCATAAAACCCCCAAAAGGACAGAGTCCTGGGGATTCCAGGAAGGTGAACAAGAACTCACTCACATACCTGGAGAGTAGTGTATCCCAACTCCATGAAGATGCTTAAAACCCTTCCACAACTTTTCCTGTATAGCTCTTCATCTGGCTGTTCATTTTTATCCTTTTAAATATCTTTTCTAATAAACTCGTAAACCTAAGTAAGCTCTTTTTTTCTCTATGAGTTCTGTAAGCTACTCTAGCAAATTAGTCAAACCTCAAGGAGGGATTTAGGGATCCCAGGTGGTCAGTGTCAGGATTCACTAGAGGACACCCAGCTGGTATGTCCACTATAACATTGTTGACTTGGTGTGTGGTGAAACCCATGCCTTTGGCCACAGAAGGATTCCATGTTGTCAGTGTATAGTAGGAGAAACTGAATTTGTTTCATCTACACAGACACTAAAAGGAGGCATTATGTGGAAAGCCAGGTGAGAAATACCTGGAGAGGAGGCTGGGGAAATAAGCAGATGCCAGACCACAAAGGTTCTCCTGAATTGTGTTTTAGAGGCTGGGCTCCATTCCATAGGGCATGGGAGTCATTAGTAATCAGAGGAATATTTTGAAGTCCTCTGAGATCTCCTCTCTTCTACCTGTGGCTAAGGGGACAGCTCCATGAGACACTCTTGGGCAGAAATTCATGTGCCATACTTAGGACAGGATTGGGGTTTAGGCTTAGCTCACATACAGCTTACAGCAAGATGGTGACAAATAACTCATTTCTAAACAACATAGCTGACATGAGAAGGTGACACGTTAGAGTCTTGCTTCTCTGCTTTGCTGATGGCCTACAGATTTAATTAAAGAACAGGATGCCAAGCCTCTGGTGCCTTCCCAACCCTTCCTATTCTCTCTTCTCTACCACGCCCTTGACCTCCCCTTATCTCTCCACTCTTCTTCCTTCCACCTTCAGCATTGGTAGCTATGCCCAAGAATTCTGGTTTACATTTGTGCCAGAGAGAGATATAGGATTTTGGTCATGGAAGAAAATATTGCAAGTATCAGCTGAGGCAAGGGCTGAAAAGTTTCCTGGTACCGGAGATGGACCCCCTGGGCGTCCAGTCCTGGCTCCACCAGGCACCAGCCAAATGACATGGGACAGGACCCCCTTTTCTCTGAGTCTTTCTCTCTGAGCCTCTGCTTCCTCAACTCTAAATGGGGAAGTCTCATGGGGATGATATGAGATTTTTATGAGGTTTTATTTGTGAAATTGCTTTTTGAGCTGCAATTTTAGGTCCAATACATGTTTGTTTTGGATTTTGCATTGTTTTTCTGAAGAAATCTACCACCAAGTTAGCGAGGAAAGAAATTGAGAGAACTATTGTGTTGGGATTTTTTTTTTGTCATGTGAATATTCATGTCATAAAATCAAAACAAAGAATGCAAACTCTGTCCCCCGCCCCCCCCCCCCAATGCTAGATCCCACCTGCTAGGAGCAAATATTAATTGTTTGTTGCATATGCTTCTAGACAGGCATGAAATATGTGTATTTTTTAAGGAAATATATCCATAAGCTGTTCTTTTTAGTTTATTTTTCTTTCCATGGACATCTTTTAATATCATGGCATGTAAACCTGTCTTCTTGATATTACTTCATGGTATAGATGGACCATGATTTACTTAAGCCTTCTCCTATTGACAAACACTGAATTTATTTTCAACTTCTTTTCACATATTTTGTGACCTTTTTGTGCATATACCTATGGGAGAAATTTCTAGAAATGGAGTTGCTAAGTCAAAGGAGCTGAACATTTTATACTGTGATAGTTAAAACCAAATTGCTCTCCAAAAGATTGTGCAAAAATACCCTTTCACAAGCAAAGTGCCTGCCTCCCCGTCCTGACCCAACCATGGGGATTACCAGTTCTGTTGTGGTTTTTGAAACCACAGAGTCTTTCTCCTCCTTTGACTGGCTATTTGGACGCTGACCAACCCCACCTCACTGCTCCTCTGCCTGACCAGCCTGGTCCTCCATGACACCAGTATGGGCATCTGAGAAATGGTTTCCCAATCAATGGTTGGAAGCAGGCCACAGGGTGTTTGGAAAGCTGGCTTTAAAGATTAAATAGAACATCCACATTTCCAAAGGTAATGTTCAGAAGCAATGGGGTAATGTACTTTAAGCGCCCAGCATTGTATCTGATACAGGAAGTGATCATTATTGATTCTCTTATTATGAAAGGTTCTGACACTCAGATCTTGGTTTGGGTTGAAGGGATGGCAGGTATGAGGAGGCTGAGGTGGGAGTTTTAAGAAGTCTTTGTCATTGTTGAGCTGTAGCCAGATTCAAGTTCTGGTCACATGACTAGGTGTTAGGGGCCTTTGGTGTGGCATAATGCAAAATACCTGGTAACCAAATAGCAATTCCATGGAAAAAGCCCGTGACCTGGTGTTGTGAGCAGGTGAGGGAGTGGACACTGGGAAGGGGGACGGCCAGAGGGCAGAAGGTGAGAAGGGGCCTCTGCAGCCTCTGAAATCTAAACCAATGGGCCACTGGAAAGTTCTGAGGCCCAATTACTGACAACACAGGCCCCACCCGTGACATGTCTGGGATACTCCAAGAGTTAGGAACCTGAGACTGGGCTTGGTCCCCAGCCCAACTGGCTCCATTTTAAAACCATCGTTACAAGGTCTGGGTGTCAAGCCAAAAGGACCATGGGGAGAAGGTGGTGAACGGAAACTGCGTGGCCATGTGCTGGGGAAAGAGGAGGCAGAACTCAGGATCAAGAGATAAAATAAACGACCAAGTAGCCTTGGTCATTCACATGCATTATCTAATTTTGTCCCCTTAAGAACCCCTTAAGAGTGAGTGCTGCGAGGATCTGCACTTTAAAGAGGAGGAAGCTTCTGCTATAGTGAAATCAAGTCACTTGGCCAGTGTCATCCAGCCACAGGGGCCTAACCAAAACACAAATGTAGGCCCAACTGACTCCAAACCAAAATGGTGCATATGGCTTCTAGTTCAGCATGGAGGTTCAATGTGGAGGTTGAGGAAGGCATCATCCACTGCTGCGTAGGGGGGCGGTAGGTTTTCATTTTATATGTTGCTGGAAAATGAGTTATTTCTACCCTGTTGCAGGATGACATGAAGAACGAGGACTTCCACTGTGTCACTGACATTGTACAGCTGTGTATATTTGACAGGTCTCTCACACTCCCCATCCTATGTCCTCTCCCCACTTTTTTGAGAATATTGGGCTAGAGGGGGCCATGGAGGGAAAGGCAAGGAGCTTATGCAGTGTGGTAGGAGCAACGGGGGAGGCTTTTTGTTTTTAAGATCTAGTTGGGTCCCCAGTGCCTTGGTGGAGACTCTAGACCTCCTCGAAGTCTTTGAGGTTCTGATTTATTACCTTATAAACTAGACTGCCCTTGGCCTTAGTGTTGCTGCTCCAGCCTGTAATTATCTTTGCCACAAGTGGAGGCCTGGCTTTGTTCTGCAGTTAGATGCTCCTTTCTCGGTCCCTTTGGGTTCCTGAGTCACTCTCAAGCTCCCGTGTGCTCATCCAAACTGGTGAGTCATTTGCCATCATGTTGGAGGGCGATGCAGTTCCATTGGGAAGGAGGAGGTGCTGCCATGGAGAGGGTGCTCCCCAGAAGGGCCCCCCCACCTTCTTTGTAAAGAACAGTGGATAAGAATTGGGCTGCAGAGGATGCTGTGGCAGCAGACCAGTGAGCTGGGCTCACCCACTCACTCATGCTGTCTGATAGGTTCATAGTGCAGGTTCCAAGAGAGTGCACATGGATAAAGAGCAAGGATCTTGGCTCAGTCTTTGCTCTGCCACTTGACCGGAGGGATGACCTTGACCCAATCTTTAACTTCTCTGAACTTGGATTTTCTCAAATGGGATAAAAATAGTAACTGCATCACAGGACTTTTAAGAGGACTTGATAAAAGATGCAGGTGTAGTGCTCAGCAAACCATAAGCACTGAGAGTGAGGTGGTGGTGGTGGTGGTGGTGATGATGATGGGACCAAATTATACCCATTTTACAGATGGGAGAACTGAGCCTTAAGTTGTCCAGAGTGACATAGATGGTAAGTAGTAGACTTGGGAAGAGAACCCCAGTCTGTTTCCAAGTCAGAAACCCTTTCCTTTATCATACAGGAATGAGTCTGTATGTGGGTTTGTTGTGGACTGAGACACCATCTCAAACTACAATGGTAGGTTGTCCCAGAGGGGGTTCTACGTTTTTCTCCTCAGTCTGAAGCTGGAGAGCAAGATTAAGGAGCCTGTAAATATTTACTCAGCATTCCGGGAAACCCATCAGGGTTGCAGGCTAAGCCATCTCCCAGCAAGCAAGGGCTTGCCTGTTAATTCTCTTTCTTTCCAAGACTGATCAAATTGCTCAGTACATAGTAAAATGCCAATGTCCTTTTTCTTGGAGGGGAGAAAAGCTCTCAGCCCCTGCTGGGGAGAGGCTATTGCTTATGCACTGTTAGGTGGTAGCTAGGGGCAGAGGCTCTGAGGTCAAGCAGAACTGGTGTTCATCTGTCCTTCCCAGCAGTGTGACCTTGGGCAAGTTACTTAATTTCCCAGCCCCAGTTTCCTCATCCTTCAAAGAGGGGATTGTGGTGTTACATTATGGGGACTTTAGTTTCTGGCATAGAGTGAGCCCCTATTAGAAAAAAATGACAGAGTGGGATAGATTGAGGATTTGGTTTACAAGTACTTTGCAAGAAGGTCTCTTGGTGTCTGCTATTCAGAGACCCCTGGTGAGACCATGCCTTTTGTGGGTGATACTACTGTGCGTAGGCACCAAGACCCCAGCTCCTTGGCACATCAGCCTCTAAAGAAAGAGGTGCCTGCCTGGCCAGCGTTAACCAGTTCATAGGTTCTTTGATGCAGCCACAATATTCCCTTTTTACACTGCTCTCAGCCCATCTCCAGAGGTGCTAATCATTGCAGCCATTGACTTCACACTGGTGATCCCCTAAACATACATCATTCCTTATTCTTAGCAGCATTCCTGGGGGGAATCTCCATTTACAGATATCTCCACTTATAGATAATAGGGGCTCAGAGATATGGGGGAACTGCCCAAGGACATAGAGCCGTTGGAGCATGTCTGTGTGATATTTTTTTCTGGTTTGCATGAAAGCATAGCATTTCCTCGGATGTGGGGCATTTAGTGTTAAGACGGGAAAGGTCTTGTATGATTTGGCGTGGGAAGCTGAGACTTGGCAGTAGTTCTGGAAAAGGAATGGAGGTGGAAAAGAGAAGAGGAGATACAGAGAGGGGAATGGCAGGGTGAGATGGCTCTGAACTGTTATTGCAAAGACATCTGGGGCTTCTCCCAATCCTACCGGTGCTCCTGGGTATCCTCTTTTCTACAGGTACTAAGTGCTCAGTACCTTCTGTGGGTTTGATTCCTATGGGAATTAGAGTTGTCTGTGCCTGGAGGTGCCTCACCCTGAAATTTGAAGAGAGCTTTCATGGATCTCAAAGCAGCCACTGGGAATCATGAACTTGACCTCTGGCCCCTTCCTTCCATGTACCAACAGCATGACCTCTGGAAAGTCACCAAACCGATGACCTCATGTCAACCATCTTGTCTGCATTACCCGTCTCAGGGATATTGTGGGAGAACTAATGAGATGCTATAGAGGAAACAGTTTCTCAAGTACTAGAAACACACAAGGTCTGTGGGGGATGCTACTGTGTCTAGGGACCAGGGCCCCAGCTCTAGGATTTCAACCTCTGCCATGTGATTCAATTCAACAAGTCGGGTTGAATGCCCTGCTACTGGCTAGAGTTTTGTCAGACCTTTTGGGGATATGACCATGAAGAGGACTCTGTCTGCACAGATTAGCCACACTGGCTAGAAAAAGCTGCCCCACTTGGGCTGTCACCTCACGTCTTTGGAATCTATGTTCCAGGATGGCAGAAACTTTTCCTTATCTCCTGCCCAGCAGAGTTCCAGGTCCGTGGTAGAAGTTTCACAAACATTCATTAAATGTCAGATATTGAATGATTCCAAGTACAAACATAGGCCCTGGGAAATTTAAACTTGAAGGCAGTTGGGGAAAGCTGAATGGAAATGGCACCAGAAAATGGGTGGTGCCCATCTTTGTCCTGTCCATGTGGTGGGACTACAGGAAGCAGGGAAGCACAGCTTGCTTGTGTGGGAGTGGCTTGGGGCCACTGTGCCTGGGATGTGCCCTGTGAGCAGTATTAGAGACCAAGGGATGTAGGACTGGAAACCGGAGGCCACCAGGTGGTGGAGAGGGTGCATATGGCTCCCTTAGGCAGTTTGGACTGTCGGTCTCTAAACCATTTCCACCAAATTTCAGTCACTCTCATTTCCTTGTCACCATTTTTGCCATGTCTCTGCACTCATCAAATATTTACCTAATAATTTCCCTTAAGTTGACTTTTACTTTGCTGAATTTGTTTTCATATCAAAACCAAATAACTAAAATAACTGTTAAAATAAACATCATCATTTGCACTTAAGATCATCTTGCCTCTTACCTGAGGCAGGTGTCTTTCCCTCTGAGAAACATGGCTCCAGGGAACGGGGAACTAGCAGAAGTGTGTGTGTGTGTGTGTGTGTGTGTGTGTGTGAGATACCAGGGATTGAACCAGGTGTGCTTTACCACTGAGCTACATTTCCAGGCCATTTTTTTTTTTTTTTTTTTTTGAGACAAGGTCTTGCTAAGCTGTAGAGGTTGAACTTGAACTTGCAACTCTCCTGCCTTACCCTCCCAGATTGCTGGGATTACAGGTGTGTGCCACTGTGCCCAACTGACTAAGATTTTTTTTTTCATTAAGGAAATATTCTAGTTGCTTTTTTTTTCTGTTGTTGTTAATTTTTTTTTTATTTTAGAAGAAATGTAACATACATAAAATATCACTTTAAGTCTATTATTAGTAGACTTTATGTAGATTCTCATTGTTATGTAACCTTTAAAAAGATTGCACAAATTCACATTATAGTTGAACATAATGATGGGATTTCTTGTTACATATGTGTACATGCACACGATGTAACAATATAATTTGGCCAATGTCACTCCCAAACACTTCTGTCCACCTCCCCTCCCCTGTATCCATATTCCCTCTCTCTGTGCACTTGATTCTTCTAGGTACTCTTAAATGAAATTATACCACATTTGTTCTTATTTCACTTAGGATAACTTCAAGGTTTAACATTTTGTGGCATATGTCACAATTTCTCTTTTTTAAAGGGAAGAACGATATATATAATATATAATGTATTAAGGAGTTTTTAAATATATATTTTGGATATTAGCCCTTTATCAGTTGAACGGTTTGCAAATACCTTTTCCCAAACTATAATATATATCTCCCACATTTTGTTTATCAATTCACCTATCTATGGATACTTGAGTTGGTTCTGCCTTTTGGCTATTGTGAATAATCTGCTATGATTCTGGATGTACAAATATCTATTTGAGTCCCTTATTTCACAGATTTTGGGTATATACTCAGAAGTAGAACCTGTATCACGTGGCAATTCCACTTTTATGTTTTGAGGAATTGCTCTACTGTTTTCCATAGCCTCTCCATTTTACAATCTCAGCAGCAGTACACAGGTTTCCCATTTCTCCACATATTCTGCTACATCCTCACCAACACTTGTTATTTTCTGGTTTTTTAAATTATTATTTTATTTTTATATACACAAACAAACCCACCTGATGAGCATGGAGGGATATCTTATTATGTCTTAATTTAACTTTATTTTTAAATGAGAAATAATAGTTCTATATGCTTGTAGGGAAAGTATGGTGTTTTAATATTCTCACGCTATGTGGGATGATTAAGTCATTAATATATACATGACTTCACATACTTATATGTCATGGAAACATTTAAACTCTATCATTTCAGCAATTTTGAAATACACAATTCATTATTATTGGTTGTAGTTAATTACTACATGCAATCTCTCACTACCAATGTAATTCTCCTAACTGAAATTTTGTACACTTTGACTAACATTTTCCCCATTGCCCCAACTTTTTCAAAAATTCACAAGCCTGAGAAAATACAGAATGGGGTATGAGTGTATAAAATTTGGGTACAATTGTGTCTAACATGTTAAGACATTTTACCAAGGTGAGTTTTGGGGGGCATTTGAAAATTTCTCTCTGATCATCCAGATAAACCACACGGCAATTTCTCTGTCTCTCCTCTTTCCTTCTCCTTCTTACTTTATCCTCTTTCCCAGCACCTCTGCCCTCTGCCCAGTGTTTGCTGCCAACAACTCTAAGGCAGGGAGAGAGATCGTAGAGGAATGAGTGGGTCTCCTCCAAGTGGGCTGTGTGGTGACCCCTTGGGGTCTTGGTGCTTGGTATTAACGTCTCTACTTGGCAAGGTGCTGTGGCTTTCTAGGCTCGTCTTACCTGGTTGTTCAAAGAATGTTACCCCCAGCCAAGGCTCAAGTTCACAGAGCACTGGCCCGATCCCTAATAAGAAGCATATTTTCCCAGCTGTGCATTCAGTCCTCAAGTTAAGGTGACCTGCCAAGCTGGGGAAAAAAATGGATTAGCAAAAACCAGGTATTTGTCAAGCGCTCTGCTCCCCTACTCACAATTGTGAGATCCCAGATTGGACTCCCTGAGATTTTCTGCCCTGGTGGTCCTGGCAACTCCCGGAGAACCACGGACTGATGAATTTGAGGACTGTAAACCTGGAGTCGACTTGGAAGTGTTTTGGTGTTGACGGAGAGAGTCCACAGCAAGCGAGACATGGCTTTCTTTCACACTCACCCGGTCATGGTGACTTCTGCCCCTGGCCCTTCTTATTCCATTCTTCCCCAGAGCTCAAAGGCCTCCATCACAAGGAAGTGAGCAGAGGGTGGCTGGTCCCATGCACAGCAGGACTCTCCTCCCAAGAGAAGTTTTCAGATGTACTGATGATGCAGATTTGGGTTCAGTGTACGGGAGACTTCCTGTTTTCAGTTTTACTGTACACCCACCTACACAATATTTTTTGGTTCTCAGAATTTCAGAGCGATTAACCTCCAACCTTAAATCAGGACTCTCATAAAACTTTCCTGGGGCATTGTCATAAAAGAAACTGAGTCTCAAAATAGGACAATGTGATAGACTGTCCTTGTCCAGAAAGAGAGACTGACTAATTTCAAACCCTGAACTGACATGTGGTTGCTCAGAATAGGAGTGGGGAGAAAAATCAGAGATATGCTGTCCTAGAAGTAGGGAGATTTCACTTAGATATTCCCCAAATACGAAATTGTTCAGAAATAATTCCAAAGGCTTTCTTTCATAACATTCCACCGATGTGCAGGTGCATATGTTTTGAATGGACTGAATAGATAACTTATTTATGCAAATGAGTTTTTGCATAGTTCCAGTGGATGTGCCTGTCACCTCTCTGATATCACTTTCAGGAGGTTTCTAGATGCTTTCTTTCTCTCCAAGGGCATGGGTGGGTCCAGAATACCTAATTTCTATCTGGAAGGCATTTAGGGACAGCAGTCTGGTCGGTAACTCTGAGACATTCTAAATTGCTTATGAAGAATGAGAATGGAGAAAGTGATAGTGACCCCCAGCCCCAATTAGGCTTCACCTCGGCTCTCAACACCCATATTTCATGCTCTCCTCAATACTGCGGTTCTCTGCTCTGTTCCTGTATTTCTGGATCCAGATGTCTAAGGACTTCTCATGGGGTATTTAGCCTGCCCAGTGTCACTAAGCTTGTCGAGTGGCAGAGTGACCTTTATTTCAAAAGAGCCACATGACTTCCCAGACGTGAACAAGTCACAGCTTTTCCAGTGGGTTTCCCCTCAATTTTTATTCTGAACATTTAGCTTTTAAAATATTTGGTATTGACGGGAAGGTGCTGAAGACTGGCCTCTGAATAGCTAGACCTATTCGTGTATCTCATACTCACTTCAACCTTTCATTTTCACTCTTCTCAGGGATACTCTCATTTCCAGTGGTCTTCTAGAACTGATCTTGACTTTTCATGTCTAGAGAAGATATTTAAAATCCAGATCTCAGCAGACTGCTAAGCTTCACTTCTCTGGAGAGGGCTGTGGTTAAGAGATCTTGTTTTGGAGTGACATGGATGGGTCTGAGCTCCAGCTACTTGCTTCACTGAGTGGCTTTGCCAAGTTACCTTATCAAGTTTATGAGGCTCGGCTTCCTCATCTGCAAAGTAAGAATGGTAACAGTACCTTTCTGATGGAGTTTTGTGAGGATTAAATGAGGTAATGAAATCAGATTCTAGTCTAGTCACTGGAACATGATTAAAACCTAATAAATGTGAATATTCATGATTCTTTTCCTCCCCCCACCCCATACCCCATGCTTCTCCGGCTTCATCTCCACTTTTCCTTAGGATCATGGAGAGTTAACTATCTGATCCTCCATTCGTAGCTTCCTCTCTTGCTAAGGGGAACTTTTGGAATTTAAATTCCATACTTATTGGGGGGAACAGCAAGCATTTTCCAAGAGTTCACCAAGTGCCAGGCACCTTCTTAAGCTTTATGATTTCTCATTATCTTCCCAAGCAGCTCATCAAGAACCTTAATATTCCCACAAACAGATGGGGAAACGCACACCTGAAGTTGAACTAGGTATGTCCTAGTTTGCCAGACTCCAGAAACTATGTCTTTGTCACCACACCAATCTGCTTCTGAGAAATCTCCGTCACTTGAGTTTTTAAGGCTGAGGGGATAGGTGCTCAGACCCTGGTCTTCTGACACCACTGGTTCTACTAGGTATTTATTCACCTGGTAGGAAATTCTGTACATTTTTTACTTGGGTCTGAGATTTTGGTCCATCTTGGTCACTGAGTGAAAGAGACAGGTACTGAGAATTTTACCCAAGGTAGACTCCACTAAAATGTCCTCTTGGACAACAGGAACAAAATTTTCCTGTTTGTCATCCATGGAACAATGAAGGTGTCCACAAAATAAAAGTGGACGATGATAAATACAAAGCAGATGATCTCCTCTGCTGTCACCCACCCTTGGAGGTACTTGCTGATTTGGTAGATGTGAAGAGATATTCAGGAGACTGGATTTGTAAAGGGGACTCTGGTGGTCCATTGGCTTCAAGCAAGCACATAGTAGGGAGGGCTATGTAGCAGAGACAGAATGGATTCCTGTGAGCCCAGCAAAGGGGAGCCAAGCTGCCAGGGCATTAGCTGCCCTACATTAGCAGCAATTCTTTAATATGTTTCATCTTTTGGGGTTCCATAATAGTGGAAAAGGAATTCTTATGGCAAAATTTAATACACACACACACACACACCTGTAAATTGTACAACATTATGACCACAGTAAATAGCAATGCATTGTGACCTGAAAATTGCTAAGTGAGTAGTACCATTACCCAAAAAAATGGTGTCTGAGGTAATGCATTCATTAATTGGTTTGTTTTAGCCATTTTGCAATGTATACAGATATCAAAACAATATGTATTCCATATTATGGTATGATGTGTACCCTAAGTGTGTTTGTCAACAAAAAAGACTAATAACAAAGGGAGAAAACCCAACTGCTATAATTATAAGAAAGTCTTACCTAACCTACACAAAAATAAGACTCTGGCCACCAGAAGATGGTCTGGAAGTGGCCAACTGTCACCACTCTCTTAGACTGAGAATTGAGGTTTCTTGGCGATGGAAATACAATGGGGAAACTCCAAGTAGTTTGATCAAGAATCAAGGTGCTTATCCCAGAAGTAAAGTTGCCTTAAGTCAGAGAACCGTGGAAAGCTATTTATGAGGCAAGATAGGGGCAGAAAGATTAATAAGATACAGGTGAGGCAGAAGGAACGGCACAGACACAAGTCACCTTCTGCAAGAATGGAGTCGTCCTAAGAATAATTAAAAGATAAAGGGGGAGTTCAGGAATTTCATCTTCAGTGCTTAGGTAAGATTGGCAACATATTTAGATGCCTGAGGGTGTGTGTGTGTGTGTGTGTGTGTGTGTGTGATGTGCACAATCTGTCATTCTTTCCATCAACAGGGTTGTCCCCCGTCTCAGCAGTTAGAGTGTACATGCCATTGGCAGAGGGTTTTACTCAGCATGTGGGACTCAGATGTGACAACAAGCCTTGCTCAGAGTGTTCCACACAAATCTACTGGGACAGCTGTCAGCATGAGACCTTCCAAAGAGAGGGGAGGCGCTGCCTTCAGAGCCCAGGGAGCTTCTCCACAGAGGACAGGAATATCCCCTGGAAACTAATCTCATCCTAAATCAAAAGATTTTGCAAATATGGCCTTTAGAGGGGCTTAAGGTCTGAGGCAAGATGATATTTATTAACCTCAGTTCCTTATTTTACTATCTCCAGGTAATAAATGATATTCTACTCTATTTGACTCTTACCCCTGTAAGTTTCACAGGACCAGAGAGAGTTTCCTGTTCCTGTCAGGACTTTGTTAAGATTTCTGTGTGGGTCTCACATTTTGGAGATAGCTCTGAGTCTTTAGAAGGGGATGACAGACAGAAACACACACACACACACACACACGTTTTCAAAAACAAATATAGGGCCTCTAGTTAAAAGATGCTGGGTAAAGTAAGTGAGCATCCTCTTTCTTGCAAAGCAAGCTTGTACCTCTGTTGACCTTGTAACCACAACCTGCGTTGGCGTGAAGACTCAAGGCTCCTTAGGGCTTGCTTGATACATGTGGCTTAGAGAGATTCTTTGTATTGGCCTCGGTTTAGCAATGAAAGTCCCTGGGGTTCCTTAGTTCTGTAATGAAGATCTAATACCCAGTCTGACTGAACTCAGGGTCTCCAGGCCACTGCAACACTTTGGTTTGTTTTGCTTTGTCCTCTTTTCTCCGGGGAATCAGCATCAGGAATTGACTCTAAAGCTCTGTGCCTTGGCACAGACCTGAGACAGCAACCAGGGCTTCACCTACAGAGAAGACCAGGAAGATTTTAATGCTAAGTACTTGGGTCTCCAGACCTTTGCCTCTAGAGTTGGTTTTAGTTCCTAGTATTATCTGGATCTTGATTTGATCTCATTATTCTACTATCCCATGTCTTTATCAGAGAATTTTGGTAGCATAAAACAAATGATGGAACTCTCCAGTGATGATGAATGAGACTCTTGCCTGATTTCTCCCTGAGAACTTACAATGTGTCTGTATGAAGTATCTACTGTGTTTGATGTTTTCATGGTCTCAGTTTTGAACTTCGTATTCACGAGGGACTTACTTGATACATGTGAGACTTTTGCAGTAAGAATCCTCATCATCAATTCCAGTTTACAGTATTCTCAGCTAAAAACCAGGACATCTATCCCATCATGTCTGTCTGTCTGTCTGTCTATCTATCTGTCTAATTTGATGGCAGTGCTTCTTCTTCAAGTTGATCTTAGGGTAAAAGAATTCATACTCCAAAAGAGTTTCTTTAAATATATAAAATGCCTAAAAATCTGATTTTTTTTTCCGGGAAGGGGGAGGTACTGTTTTTCTTCTTGGAGGTTCAACCAAGTCCCGAGTAAATAAAAGAATCAATGCGTACTAAGTACCCACTAAGTACCAGACACATTGTTAGGTACTTCATATACACAAAAATTTACAAATACAGTGGCTTATGTGTATTTGATGATATCTCTCTGCCCCCTTCCCCATGATCTCCACCATCCAAATGAGTTTTCTCAGGAGTGCCTTAACGGAGTAGTCTTCCCATCTGGAATGATCAGAATGAGAGTGGATAAAGGAATGGGACATAACCGGACATCTTTAGCTGGGAATTAAAGGGCCTATAATTAAAGGTGGTTGGGATTGGGCCAGAGAGTCGCATCCTGTAGGAGTTCCATTTGAAGTTCACGACCTCAGGACCTCACACCACCTACCCACTACTCACCGCTGCTGGGCTGGCTCCCTTCAACCTCAGGTGAAAGTGTAAAGAAGGCCAAGTTTGCCTTCCTAGAGTCCTGCTGGCATTAATGCCCCCCCCCCCATCTCCCCGCTATCACTTGCCCTGTAGAGGGCGGAGCTCCTTCAAGCTGCTCCTGATTCATCTCTCAAGCAAAATTCCAGCAGGCTGTTCCCTCAGGGCTCTGCTCTCAGATCTGGAGCTGATAAACTAATTAGAGCTAATGTGATAATGGGCAATAATGACATTTACTGTTTTTATCAGGTGCAGGGCATACATCTGCCGGTTAACAGGGCCCTTGGCAAGGGCACTAGATGAACAGGAGGGAAGGATGGGAGGGTTTGGTGTGGGTTAAGAGGCAGAGGGGCTTTACTGGGCTGCCCAAAAGCACACCACCCAAACCTTCAAGACCTGCTTTAAGATCTGAGTTCCAACTCCCCCCAAGCCCCTGCCCCCGCCCCGCCCTGCTACTTATAAAACCCTCTGCATTCATGATGCACAAATAAATAAAACAAGCCCTCCTGCCTTAATAATACAATCACCGCTTGCTTTTTGTTCTCTTTCCAGTCAGCCTTTGGTCATAGGCAGAACTTTCATTTTTACATAGGAACTATTTGGTTTTGATCATAAAATCATTTTCTCATTGTCAAAACTCAATTCCCCTCTCTTCTCCCTCATAGGGGAGTCCCGGCAGCTCAAGAAAGCTGCTTGGATCCTTGGCTCATGCCCAGCCAGGCAGTGTCCAGGAAGACCCAAGAGAGAAAGTTAATGGTTAGGAGATGGTATTTTTCCTTGCCAGGGGATTTTCTCACCTGTACCAGGAGGAACATCCGTGAGCCAGGGAAGGAGCAGGCAACCCCTGATATGCCCTGGGCCCCAGGGCAGGGTTGCATGGGTAGTTGAAATCCACGGTCCTCCCCAACATTTTACCTCTTCTTGCCCAGACTGCATTGATTAATTTCCAATTTCAGTATCTTGGCCTTTACTTCTGGAGTACCTATGGGGAGTGTTAATAACAGTAGTCAGGGTCATGTGAGGTGTCCAGAGGAAGTGAGGAGCCAGATAATCCAGCAAATCAGCCCTTGCATTGTTGAGAGTTGACTGCTGGATCTGAACATTTCACAGGGGTTCCTCCTCCTCAGGAGCCTGCCTTTCCAGACGTCTTCTAAGGCTCTTACCTGGCTTTTCAAAGTCCATTGGAATTGCCAAGAGTCACTGTCAACGAGGCAGTTTGTGATGCTTGAAGGGAGACCTGGCTGGGAGCTCCTTTAGAACCTGGTACCTGTACAGCCAAGGTAAAGATCTTGATTCCAAAGCAGGGTAGACCAACTACAGATTAGAAAATGAGACAGATGCTAAAGGGGGCCCCCCGTGCCCCTTTCCCATCATCCCTGCCAGATTCTGACTTCTGCTCCCTTTGCCCTTATATGGTCTCCCTCCCTGAGGGTGTCTTTGGGGAGCACAGTACTTTTCACCTGAAACTACTTCTGAGCTGAAAAGAACAGTCACCACCAAATCAATTCCTCATCCATTAACAGGTTGTCTCTGTACTTGAGACACAGGCATAACCTGGTTAGACCTGTTTTGTTTGAACACTAACCTGTGAGTTGGCCAAATGCAAATGAGCCAATGTTTGTAATCCTTTATTTTATTTTTTTAAAGGGCTGGGTAGCCAATCACAAGAGGGGGAAGTGACTTAGGGAATTCCCGGTTGGTGGCTTATTGCTTAACATCCTACAAAATGATTTTAAATTATTGTCATATGCATTTATCTTCACTCTGATGAGGGCTCCGGCGTGATAACACCTGTGGTGGCCCATCCCCGTAGGAGCTGGAGAGATAGCTGCCTGCTGCCTCCCCTCCATTAGCCAGAGCTATTGGATTTCCCACCCAGAATCTTTAGGTAAATGAGGTAAGTCTTAATTTTTAAGCCTTCTTTTGAATCTGGAATTCAAACACCTGCGTGGAAAGAGAAGCCTGCCCGGATTCAGACAGAAGAAAATAAAGCAGGCGCTGCCGGCAGCTGGCAGGGGGTGAAGCTTGCTTTCCAGGGCATACCTCACTGGGTCTTGGTAGGATTTTATTTTCAGAGGAAGCTGGGCGACTTTGGATGTTATCTGTGAATTTCCTGCATTGTCTGGACTTCCAATCACCATGAATTTAAAAGCCCCCTGGCTTCCCTCTATCAGTGTGGCAAAGCCATGTCCCTGGGTCAGATTGTTCTGAAACCAACAGGCACAAAAAGATAGGTGGCTCTGATACAGCTCAGCAGAGAGCTGGTCGGTGAGGTAGCTATTGGGGTTCAGAGCACATGGTCTCCCTTTCTAGAGATGTCTTCTGCTGGTAATTTTTCTGACTCATGAACTATAAGGGAAGGTCGATTCCTCTGTAGTATCTCCCACTGTTGGACATGGCAAGGAAATTCACATCCACACTGGAAATATTGGTCAGGCAGCCAAGGTAGGCAGGGTCCTGAGGAGAGCTGAGCATTTAAAAATGACTCCATCCAGAAAAAAAATTTTAAAAAAAGGAAAATCAATTTAGGCAGAAGGCTTTACCATATCTCAAGGGGACAAACTAACCCTTTGTTCACTCCATAATGGGATCCTGAGACCAGACAGGCAGATGTGACTCAGCAGTGACAAACCCCTTGGGAACAGGGACTCTTTTGATTTTGTTTGGACAAGAAGGGTTGGCTTCAGCATGGACAGAACTGGGAACAGTAGGGAATTCATCTTGTGGGTCCATAACAGTACCCGGGCGGCAAAGTCACAGTTTTCAACAACCTTCTTTGTCAACTCTGCTTACTCCAAGTACTACTGTGTTTCTGAGGCCAAGTGCAAGGTCCCCTGAGCCCAGGTTCACAGGTGTCTCCGCTGATGTCTGCACTGACCTCAGTGGCAGGGGGAAGCCAGCGAGGGTTCAGATCTGAGAGCTTTCTGGTGGAAGGTCTAGGGCAGACTTTGATTTGTAGGTGTGGGTGTGAAGATGTGTCAGATAGTGACTTTCAATGTGCAAAAGGGAAGTTGGGGCTCACGGATGGCTGTGTGCTACCTCCACTGAGGTCAAGGGGAGAGTCAACTTCTAACAGGAGAGATGAAGGCATGTTATTGGGAAGAATTTCATGGTTAAGAGATGCTATCAGAACAGGAGATTTAGACGATGACTATAATAACTGCATTTGGAGCTTGAAGAAGGTCCTTCTTGACCTCTTTTTGTGACCTGAAATTCTGGGGCTGTGGTATAACTTTTCAATGCCACCTTCTTATAATATGGAGTGGGGTAGGACCCTGTAGTTTCCCCGTCAAAGGCTAATGGTATTTCAAAACCGTGGTGGAACACAAAAATGAGAGTCATTTTGAAATATAACCACACTTAAAAAATAATAAATATCCTATACACGATCCTTCTTAATTCCAAAATATTTTACAGAGTCATTTTAAGAAAGCAACCTCGAGGGAAAGAAACGGCTGTGCTTGGAGTTCTGTTGGGTTACCTTGAGATGGTGCTTGGTTAGGACGTTCATAAGGGAGATTGTGGGCAATCGGTGTGTTTGGGCAATCGGTGTGTTTGATCCGGGTCTCATTTATTTGAAAGCTCTCAATTTTATTTATTACTTTGTAGTAAACATTTACTATTGGTTAAATTCACATAAACTTTTTTTTTAGCTTTATTTATTTATTTCATTTCTTAACACATTACTGTATTGTCATTTCCAAATGGAAGTACTCTGGGCTTTCCCCCATCTCTGACAAGCCCTTCACTCACATGATTCCATGTTTGCAGGCATCGGAAAGTGCCCCCATTCATCAGCCAACTTTCCCTTGATCCTCTTTCAATATCTTTTTGACTCCTTAAGGGTCTGAGACTAGATGGAAATTGAAAGGTTAAACGGTGTTCACCACTGTACTCGCTAATGCCAGTTGGAAACTGGAAGGAGCTCATATTGAGGTCTCAGGTCAGAATGTGAGTGCTTTGGGTCAAAGTTCATTTCCAAGGAAGTGGAATTTAGCTTTCTGGAATCTAACAAAGTTTTATTTCCTTCTTATCTCCTCCACCTCTCCCTGAATTTGGGAACTTGCACTTGAGCACTGGATTGTGTTCATTAGACTCTGGCTTTTCCCAAAGCCCAGGGTAAGAGCCCTGTTTCATGTTGCAGTAGCAAGCACTGTCATTGAGGCTTGTACAGATCATTGAAGAGTTCCTGGATCTTCCCCCCAGAGTCCCCCCAGGTTCTTTCAAACAGATGTGATTTCGAACCACCTCTGGGAGAGGGGTGGAGTGGAAACCAAGAATCTGCTCACACCCTCGGGAAGCGATGCCACGGGTTTGAGGAAGCAGATATAAATTCAGTGACACCATTTTGCTGCCAGTTCAGCCAATTTCCCTGGTTCAGATTGCTCCCTGGTAGAGCTGAAGCGACAACCTTTTCTGTTGTGGGTGAGGCCCCGGTTGGGAGGCATCGGCTTGGTGTTTGGAGACCACACGTTCTCACCCTGCCTGTGTTACTGGGTAACTGAGCTAGTCGCGGTGGCTGTCAGCTCCGTAAACCGATTTTGTGGTGGGGATCAGCCTCCGAAGACAGAGGCAGGGGGCAGCCACATCTTGCCCAGGTTCTCTTAAATTTGTTTCTGAGTAACTGAAGGGAGAGGGTGGATAATTGGATTTATTTAACATTTTCATGTCTTTATTTTAATAAAATGAATTTTAAATAATATGAGTTGTTCTAAGAAGTGGGCAGTTGGGCTTTTATTAATCATTGTTAAGTTTCTTTAAATCAGATGGGGTTTTAAAGTGACAGATTGTTGAGCTGTGCGGGGACTCAGCGGTATGTATGGAGGGGGGGGGTTGGAATGCTCCTCACAGCACCTCGTCTTAGGATGGGACAGACTTTCCAGCCAAAGGGCATTGAGGCAAGGAAGCCAGGATGCTCAGGAGAAGACATTTCCATGGATCTTTTGGAGTTATCTGATAAAAACTTTGCTGGATTAGGGAAGGGTAAAAGATTTTTCTTTAAGAATCTTCCTTGAGAAAGGTCAGACTCCATTCCTGGAGCCCAGTGCGAGGAGAGCAGAAGGTGGGCAGTCAGGAGACCTGGCAAAGCTGTGTGGTCCACGGCAACACACTTCACCTCTCTGGGCTTTTAGTTTCCTCTTCTACACAAACCTGATCATCCTTAAGATGTATTTCAACCCTCTGATTCTGTGTTGTGACCAGGTGGGGGATCAGGCAGTGCTGCCTGGGCAGGGGTTGTTCAGTAGGATTGGCCTGGGTCTGAAAGCTGAGAAAGGGCAGGAGATGCCCTCCTAGGACAAGACAGGAAGGAAGATAAGCAGGTGCCCTAGTTGGCTTCCTTAGGGTCTTCTGAATCTTGGCTAAGGCACACAGCTGGCCGAGGTACTAAGACCAGACACTTGGAGCCTTTATTTGGGGTGTCAGTTCACACCCACATAAGATCCGGTCTTTCCCAGTTTGGTTCATGTGTCCAAAGCTGGTGAGAGTGTGCAAGGGGATGGAGCAGACGGCTGGTGACCACGGGGCAGAGCCAATGGACGTGATCGTTTTATGCCATCTTCCATAAAACACCAAGGCGTTCTCCTGAGAAGGGAGCACACAGGCCCCAGGGCCATCGGCTCTGTTTATGTGGGTCCTCATGAGCTCATGGGGTGGATTGCCTGCGAATTCCTGGGTAAATGAGACAGATGTGGATTAACTTCTATAGGAACACACCATGGGCAATCATAAGGACAATAAGACTGGCCCAGTCACTGGGAAGCCCCCTCCCCGGAGCCCCTGGTGATCCCAGAGGGCCTCAGCTCTGTATCGGGAGCAACAGGGCTTGCCACAGAGTCAAGCAGGGTGTCCAATTTAAAGAGGATCATAGGGTATTAATTGGCCTTGTTTTAAAAGAGACATCCTGTAAAACATTCCTTTGAACATGATTTCACTAGCACCTAACCATATTTTCTTTTCCATTTGCTGTCTGGGTCTGAGCCCCTTATTCTGGTTCATTGGATTCACAGTCTCTCTCCTCCAGCTTCCCCCTACAACCTGGCCCTCAGAACCTTCCTCACTTACTTTCTCAGAAGCATCTTAATTGTTGGTAAGGGCACTTGAATATCTGTTTAGGATATGACCAGTATGGGTGCATTCAAGACACGCTTTGTGATGAAACAAAGTCTAAAAATAAAAAGTACCTGTTATCATATTTGGTTGTTAGACTAATAGACCACCTCATTAACCACACTATTTTAACTTAAATGCTTATTTTTACTTTTGCATGACCTTGTCTAGATGTATACTGTCTTTGATGTTGTAATTGTGGTGAAGTTAAAATATCACATCTAAACTGGTGCATACCTATAATCCCAGCTACTTGAGAAATGGAGAAAGAAGAATCAAGTTCAAGGTCAGCCTTGACAACTTCGTGAGGCACTGTCT